TTCCCTTAAAAATTTCATGTAGAAAGTCTAGCTTACAATATTTTGTGTGTGTTGTGTAATTCAACTGCATAATAGAAGCAGATAGTATAGAACAAGATGAAAATTCATATTGCCTTACTCTTTAACATTTGTTTTGATGTCTTTGTTCTTCTTATTAATTTTTTTCTATTTAAACACTATGTCTGTGTGGTGTCTATAAACAGGTTCTGGTGATCCAGTGGATTAAACATTGGGTTAAAAAAACTGGATGAAATATGTTCACGGCAGTGAAGTCTATGGGGGAGAGAATAGTCTAAAAGTATTATATTTTAGGGCATTATTTTTATCGTAGGAGTATGCAATGAGGGTTGCAGAGTAGATTATATTTGGGGCTAGGGGGTGGGGTTTAGGGAGGTGCGGGGGTGGGGGGGATTGTGTACCAATGAGGGAGTTTTTCTTTTGCTTTTCAAGGAGAGGAGCAAATGGCGGGGGGGGGGGAGGGGTTTGTGCGGGACAAAAGGGTGCAACAATGAATGAATGGAATCCCAAAATCTCTGTAGATGTTCATTGAAATGAAAAATAAACAAACTAAATTAAATTTAAAAAAAAAAACACCAGAGCGTAGGCACTTACAACCCACCAATTAATCCAGAGGAGGAATATGAGACAATCTGTCTTACAAAGATTTGCATGCATATAAACTACTGTTGATGTTGTTACTTTTGATTTTCATCATTGAGTATGACTCATAGCGACCCTATGAATAAAAGTTCGGAAGCCTTTCTACAACTATCATTATTTACTGAAGTTTATAGAGTTTCCAGATGCATGCTGTTTAGGAATGGATGCTGCTCCTGATAGTTCTACTAAATTCTATAGGATTTCTATGAATTGGAATAATTCAAATTATTGAAAGATTTACAGTCTCAGAATTCCTGTAGTTAAGATGTCTTTAATTTTCTAGGGTCACTATGAGTTGAAATCAATTCAATAGTGAAAAAGAGGACAATCTCTATTGAGATTAATTGATACCTTGACTACAATGTAAGTTCAAGCACAGCAAGAATGCAGATTTGGTGCAGGATCAGGTGGAATTTAGTTCTGTTTTATATAGAATTGCTATGAGTCAGAGTCAATAGGATGACATCTCACAACAATATATAAGTGTGTATATGTGGATGCTTATGCATATGTGATCACATTTATATACTCTATGTATTAATTCTAGGAATTGTATCTCTGAAGCAAATAATTAATATTATGTATTACCATCAGGAGTAGTAAGAGAAACTAGAATGTTAGTGGGTATGGAGTAAAATAAATTGCCTGGCTCATGATAACATACAGTTTTTACCTTTGTTATATGTTTGAAGTAAATCTTTGTTATTATAAGGAACGTACCAATAATTGAATGGATAGAAATACTATAGTATATTCACACAGTGGAATACTACACAGCCTTAAAAATTAATGAACTTGTAAAAAAATTAGAGAGTGTGAATGACTCTGGAAGACATTATACTGAGGGAAATATCACAGTCACAAATGTACAAATATTGCATAAACCCATCAAGACAAGGGAGGAAAGAAGAGCCAGAAAGTAATGGACAGACAATGAATACTGTAGTAGAACGAGTGACAGGATGGCCATTCTGTAAAGGAATGTACAATTAATTAGAAACCATGTGTTAACAGTCTTACAAAGGGAATAGGAGGAGGGAGAGAAGAGGATGGAGAAAAGTATGCTTGCATGAATGATAATTTTAAAAAATAAAATATTAAACAAACAAAGAAATTACATAATAATTTTGTTTTATAAATAAAAATACATGACAGACTTACTATGGTAAAAAGTAAAGTTACATTAAATATGTTTACATTACCATGTCAATTCATGTTTCATTTTTTATCATTTATAAACTGATGGTGCTAATTTGGATTTTGCCATTATCTTCACAAGTACTTGCTATGTGTCAGAGAGCTGGACAGTGACTAGGGATGATAGAAGGAGAATTGATGCCTTTGAGCTGTGGTGCTGGAGAAAAGTATTGAATATATCATGGGCTGCAAGGAAAATAAACAGGTTAATGCTAGAGAAGATGAAAACAGGCTGATCCTTTGAGGCAAGGATTCTGAGGCTCTGTCTGACATACTGTGGGCATGTTGCAAGAGAGGACCACTCCTTGGAAAGGGACATCATCCTTGGAAGTGTGGACAGACAGCAAAGAGAGGAAGACCCTTGATGAGATGCATTGATTTAGTGATTGTGATAATGAGGGTAGGTGTATAAGTGACAATAAGCATAGGATAGAGCAGGGTTGAGGGCTATTGTACATAGGGTCACAATTAGTCATAAGAAACTCAACAGCACATAACAACAACATTTGCATTACTTCTAAGGAAGATTGCATTGCTACTGTTCTAGCTATTCCCATTTAGAGTCTTATGCATGTAGAATAAAATTCTCAAAATCAAGCTCTCTTACGTTCTTTCCAGAGTCAAATTTCATTGTTCCATAGCTTAATACTTTCAGTTACATAAAATAAGTGCAAAAATATTTCCTTTTATTTGGATTCATAGCTGACATCCATGGTAACAACAGCCAAAAAATCAACTGTGTGTTACATATTTGTAACTGATGTGTTACATCAATTGTAAAGGAACTCTTCAAAGTGCTAATGAGCAAGGACATCAGTTGAAGATTAAGATGCACCTAATCCTAGTCATAAGGTGGTCTGGTGGCCTACTGGCAAGAAGCAGTGCTATAAACCTGAAGGCACGTGGTTTGAGGCCACCAGCTGCTCTGTTGGAGAAGGATGGGCAGTCTCCTCCTGTGCAATTAACTGCCTCTGAAAACCTGCTGGATGGTCAGCTATGGTTCAGTTCGGACTGGAAGGTACACAACAACAACAACAATCCCAGTCATGGTATTTTTAAGTACTTCCTACCCATTTGAAGGATAGACTATGAATGTAAATGACCAAAGAGTCAAGCCGTTAAAAACTCTCACGTTGAAAAATAATACTGAATACCTTGTGAATTGCCAAAAGTACAAATAAGTCTGACTTGGAGGAAAAGCAGCCGAGATTTTTTTTGGAGGTAAGGATAGACTCACATATTGTAAGTATACTGTGAGAAGATGCCAGTCTTTGGGGGAAAAAAAAAGACATTATAATAGAAACGGTGACGGGTCAGAGGAATAAGACTCTCAATAAGATAATTTTCCGAAATAATTGTAACAATTGACTCAAGTGTATCAGAGATCAGTAGAATGATGTGGGGTAGTGTAAAGTTCAGATCTGCTGTTCATAGACACATAGAGTCACATTCACTTCATAGCACCTAACAAAATCATGCAAAAAATTTATATTTGTCACCTATTTCTTAAGTTTTCTAATTGTTTCTCAGAACCACTATTTTTAAAATAAATCATATCCTTACTGTGTAGTTTAGACCTTTATTACTTCAGTACAAATCTTAATGTATCCCTTACTGTGATCTGCCTTTAACCTCATCTCTTTCACTTTACCCTTATGAATGCTCATATTTTTAAACATGAACCCATATACAATAGGATAAGTGTATCTGTGATATGAATAGATAATATTTCTGAATTTTTGGAGCTAACAGTCTAGTGAGGAAGTCAATAATAATTATTATAATAATAATAACAGTAACAATAATAATGAATACATCATATAGCATGTTAGAAACTGTTAAGAATGATGGGGAAAAGTCAAGCAAAACAATGAGGAGAAGCAAATATGAGTGAAACAGAAAAGTGTGGAAAATGATTTCTTTTTATTGTTTTACTTAGTACAAGTAGTCTCAAGAAAATTCAATCCGAGCCAAAATTTGAAGAAAGGAATGCACAGATATTTTGAAGATGACCATCTTAAGTCTAGAAACAGCAAGTCAAGCTGCCAAAACAGGAGGATGCCTTGCATGTGTGAGGAATTGCAAAGGAGTCAGTATGACTGGGACATTATAAGAACGATCAGAAGAAGAAATTATTTTAAATATCAGTTAATAATCAGTTAGTTAATAAAAGATCTTTTCAATCCTAAAAATGACTCTGTTTGTTGTCATAGCTAAGAAGCCACTATAGAGTTGAGAATAATGAACTGTAGTGGCTCACAGTTTTCGTTTTTGTTTATAACCACAGATATCACTTCAGTGTTATTCTCATTTTAAATACTTTGTTTTCTTTTAAAATTTCCCCCAGTAAAAATATTCCAATGTATATAATTAATCAAACAACCTCTTCATCTCTCCCCATTACCTATCCCAAGGCATTAGAGTAAAATTAGTCTTCAATTTTATATAATATAATTAAGTCCTAAGACAGTGTGCAGAAAGCTATAATTGAACAGAAATGGTGAAATGACACAATTGGAAGTCATCCAGGAGTATTTTGTGTGGATCTTTGAATGTGAACTTAATTTTGAAGAAAAAAATAGCATTTATTAATCAAAGGTGAAAAAGAATACTTTCGTAGTGAAAAAGGTCTGAAATGTTAGATAAACACAAGAACAGTATTATGTATATCTAACTTGAGAGAAACTTGCTTTTTGAGGAGTGCAGACAGTGATGTCACTGTGAAAAGAAGGGAGCAGGATTGTACATGGTTAAGTATACGAATATTCTGACAGATAAGTGATCCCTTGAGGGGAAACAACAACAACAAAACAAATATTACATAAGTCAAACTCTGGGCTCTAGCTTAAAGAACATGTCCTTGCCATACACAGGGCAGATGAAGTGAATTTATATGAGTGATGATTTTGAGCAAAGGCGGCTTTCATTATTTTCCTGGAAGATTTATCCTTAGCTATAGGGAACAAAGTGAAATTCACGGGAAAGGAGTTATTGCTCTCCTCTGTGCTTAGGAATGCCTGTTAGATTTTATACCTTTCAGTGATGTTTACCACCAAAATGTATTAGTGTTTGACAACCACATTGATCCAAAAAAGAATTATGAAGTCTGATCTAAATAATGACTTTAATGTTTTCTTCTTTAGGTAACAGAAACACGGACTGGTCCTCTTGGCTGTAGTAACTATGACAACCTAGATTCTGTCAGTTCTGTTCTGGTTCAGAGTCCTGAGAATAAAATTCAGTTACAAGGTATGTGTGTAAAATGTTAATAATTCTGTACATATTTGGATGATATTTAACTGGTTACAGTTTCTTTTATTTAGAGGTATTGAAATATGCATATTTCTGGACAGCTAAAGGCCAATTTCTTTTTTTTTAATTAATTTTAATGAAAGTTTACAGAGACTTAGGGTTTCCAGTCATTTATTGTTTCACTCTTCTCCCTACACCCATTCTCTCTTCTCCTTGAAAAGAAAAACTCTTTCATTTTTATGCAATCCCTTCCCCGAAGTACACTCCACTCTGCAGCCTTCACTTTGGACTACTATAATGACAAGAATACCCATTCATATGTCCCTTTTAAACAGTTCTCTCCCTTATCTGTTTCAATGCAATATACATCATTCCTCCCCTCCTTTTTTGTCTTTCTTCAACCCCGATGACAGTTCCATTTTACAACAGTGATCCTATGCAATATTTGCCCTTTTGTGACTGAGATATTTCACTCAGCATAATGTCCTCCAGGGAAATCCATTTTGAATATTTCATGAGTTCCTTGTTTTACAATTCTGCATATGAATAAACTAACACAGTCTCATAAAGATAAATACTGCAGAAGACCATTATTGTAAAAAATAGAAGAATAACTAGTAAAACAGGTATGAGTGTTCAAGAAGGGGAGAGATGAGGATGAGTAGGGGCAAAACTACAGGGTTACACAGTTTGTATGGAGCCTCGTAAATGGAAAGACCTAGGCGAAAAGACAGGGTAATGATGGTTAAGGTCCAATGGTGATTAATTTTATAAAACATAAAACATGGGAATTATTGTATGAAATACAATGTGAATAAAGAATAGTCTGAAACATAATTTTAGACAAACTTTGTAAGCAAACCATTTAAAAATAAATAATAATCTATAAATGGGAAAAAAAACCATTATAGACATTATAGGAAAAGGGTATGTTTAATTTTTATTGATAAAGCACAAATAATATTTTAATTTGTAGGTAGTATTACACTCAATACAAGTTTCTTTATGAGTCTGCCTGAGGTTTGTATTTTGTTTAATGGAATCTTGCAAAATCTGTAACCATATTTGTGCAAACTGCTGTTGTTATATTTACTTTAAGTTAATATAGTGATCAGAGTTCTATTTGTCTTCTGAAAAGTACAAATATCGAATGCTATTGTTATTTGCCTTTAAGTCAGAATCAACTTATCATTAACCCTTCAGTGGATTTTTGGAAACTGTAATTTGCATTGTCCATCTTTTTCCGGCATAAAAACTAGTCAATTTTAACCTATGCCTTTATGTCACCAGAGTTTTATAGACACATAAAATAGATTAACTAAATACTTATACTCACATTGTTATTTTTATGTGCCATCAAGTCATTTGTGACTCATAGTGACTGTGTATAATAGGTCTGAACTCTGACCTATCTTGAGCCAATCTCATCATCTCTGACACACCTACCGCCATTACCCCTCTTACTGAGAAAATCCATCTCATCCTGACTCTTCTCCTCAGCTGTTCATCCACTCTTATAGGCATGATGTTCTTCACCAAGGACTGGTTCCTCCTGGCCATATGCCTAAAGTATCTGAGACAGAGCCTCAAAATCTTGCCTCCTAGGAGAAACTTGGTTTCAGCCTCTCCAAGACAGACCTTGCTATTCTTTTGGCAGTCCACAGTATGGATATGTACATACTCTTCTCCAGCAACACAACTCAATGGCATCGGTTCTTCTTCTATCATCCTAGTCATTTCCCAGCTCTCTGATGCATAGCAAGCAACCACAAAGACTACGGCTTGGATCAGGCACAATTTGGTCTCTAAATTGACCACATTGCTCTTCAGAACTCTGGAAAGGTCCCTGAGAGTAGATTTTCCCAGTGAAATCCGTCTATTGATTTGCTGATTGCTGGTACCAAGAGTGTTGATTATGGGAACAAGCAAGCTGAAATTGTTAACAATCTCAGTCTCCTGTTTATCATGATGCTGACAGTTGGCCCAGTGATGAGAATTCTTGCTTTATGTTGAGTTTCAATTCATGTTAAAGATTGCAGTGAATGACCTGAGGCATTTGTTCCAACAAATGCGTCATTCATCCTCAGTTTCAGCAACAAGATTGTGTCATTTGCACAACTCTGGTTGTTGAAGAGTCTTCTTTCAATTCGGACACTACATTCCTCCTCATAAAGTGAAGCTTCCTGAATGATCTATTCCATATATAGAATATTGAAAAGGTATATAGAGAGGATGCATCCCTGGCATATACCTTTCCTAATTTTGAACTGTGCAATATTTCCTTGCTCTGTTCTGACAACTGCTTCCTGGTCCAAATAGAGGTTTCACATGAACACAATTAGGTGTCTTGGACTCCCATTCTTTTCAGCGTTAGCCGCAATTTGTTGTGATCCATACAGTCAGAAGCCTTTGCATAGTCAATTAAGCACAAATAGGCCTTCTTCTGGTATTCTCTGCTTTCAACTAAGATTTACCTAACATTGGCTATAACATTTATGTTACCACTGCCTTTTCTAAACCCAGTTTGTAGATTCTCTTCTGATAGACAATCTTCAGTTGAATCTTGCTTGCATGTGATATTAGTAATATTGTTTGATTATTTTCACACTCTGTCAGATCATCTTTATCTGCCTTGGGAATAAATATGGATCTCTTCCTTTCGGTAGGCCAGCTAGTTTTCACCTAGATTTCTTGGCACAATCTTTTGAGGACTTCACTTAATAGTCTTCACAAGAATCAGATTTATTATATCCGGTGTGTGGGGGGGAACACTGGAGAAGCTCAATATCAGGTGTAAAATTAGGCCAGATGATTGTGGAGGAGATGATCAACTATTCCTATACAAGTTCAAATTGAACCTAAAGAAAATAAAATCAAATTCATAAGAACCTAAGTTTGACCTCAAGTCTATCCCAATTGAATTTAAAAACTTTCTGAGGAGCAGGTTTGAAGTCTTAGACTCTAATGAACCAAGACCAGATGAGCTGTGGGAAGTTATCAAGATTATCACCCATAAAGAAAAAAAAAGGTCATTACAAAGACAGAAAAGGGGAAAAAATCCTAATATGAATGTCAGAAGAAAGAAACTTTGAATATTGCACTAAAGCACTGAGACGTCAAAGTAAAGGGAAGAAAGCAGGAAGATAAGGAGTTGAACAGAATATGTCAAAGGACAGCTCAGGAAGACAAAGCAAATATAATGAAATGTGCAAAGAGCTGGAATGGGAAAATCAAAAGGATTAAACCCATTTAGCATTTCGTAAACTTAAGGAGCTGAAATACAAATTCAAGCTTTGAGTTGCAGTAATGCTTAAGGATGCTGTGGGCAGAGTGTTGAATGACCCAGGAAAGCATCAAAAGAAGGTGAAAGGAGTACACAGAATCACTACACAAAAAAAATAATTGGATGACAGAAGAATTTTATGGAATAGCATATGGTCAAGAGGCAATGGTGATGAAGGAAGAAATTCAAGCTGCTCTGAAAAAATTTGCAAAAAACAAGGTCTTGGGAACTGATGACATACCATATTCACATCACCTCTCTTTAAATAGGCTACACAATAATGCTTATATCTTCTCTTTTAAAATATACTTGTGAGGTAATTCAATAAAGAATATTTTACCCGCATGAATTTTAATTATATGATAGGCATAAATCTTTGAGGGTTGACAACTTATTGCCATTAAGTCGTAACTGACTTCAGTGGGTTTCAAAGGCTGTCCATTCTCGGATACCATATGGTTTATTCTTATAAGTTCAGGAAGGTTATATGTATAATGTTCAGTTAAATTCATGAAGTCTTTATTGATGGCATATTGTAAGTGATGTTGTAGTGTTAAAGGTTCATTGTTCACAAAGATTTCCCTACCATTTACTGAATTTGTTCTGTGGATGGGAAGGAATATGCACATAGGGAATTAGCCTATCCACAAAAGGAATGTCTAATCTCATCATTAAATTGAATGGAACCAGTAGCATAATTTGAGAACCTCACCATCAGAAATGAAGAAGCCAGCAAATGCAATGCATTCTTTGGGCCCAGAGATTCTTGCACCAACCAGACCAGGGTCTACAGAAGCAGAAGCAAGAGCAGACAAAGGAGAAAACCAGGAACCTGATATAAAACAAGCAAACTTTGTGATTGCTAGGCATTGAATCAGGCTAAGCAGCTTTTGCCCAAGTTCACTGAATGGCAGGTCAGGATAGAGTCATAATTGAAAGAATTGAGAACTCAGTAACATTGATCTAAAGGTAAGAGGCTCAAGATTGACTGACAGACTAGGGAGAAGGATTACACATCCATTTTCAAAATAATAGACCTTCCAAAATCTTATGTATAATAGGGCACAATTAGAGTACACTAACATATATAGCATCAGAGGCTGAGCCTTCATATTGGGAATCACCAAGGAGGATCAACAGTTTCAAATGGATGCTAGTGATTGGAACATAGAATGTTGAGAAGTGTGAAGACATGGAAATTGGAGATTGTTAGGAAGGAAATTGTTGTTGTTGTTTTATGTACCATCAAAAGTGACTCATAGTGACCCTATTACAACATCGATAAACCCTGCTCTGTCCTGTGTCCATAGCACTGTCTCTGACACACCCATCCTGATTACCCCAGTCACTGAATTAATCCACCTCATAAAGGGCTTTCCCCTCCTACCCTACCAAGCATGACATCCCTCTCCAAAGACCAGTCTCCCCTTAAAACATGTCCAAAGTATGTCAGATGAAGCCTCAGAATCCTTGCCTCCAAGGAGCAGCCTGGTTTAATCCCCTTCAGGTTGAATCTGTTTGTTTTCTTAGCAGTCCATGGTGCCCTCTTCACTAGGCACCACAGCTCAAAGGCATCAATTCTCCTTCTATCCTCCTTAGTCACTGTCCAACTCTTTTGACAAATAACAAGTGATTGCAAAAGCCATGGCCTGTACCAGATATACCTTAGTCTCCAGAGAGACACCATTGCTCTTCAGTGCTTTGGAGAAGTCCC